CTTTCACCCCCACCGAGCCCCGTTCACCCATTCCCCCCCCATGAACACGTCTTTTTTCCTGGAACCTGAAGCCCGACCATCATCATCCCTCGAAAAATGTATTAGCGACTCCTCTTTACTTTCTCCTGGATCGCCTCCTCCCTCTGAGAAAGGTTGCAGCCCCAACCTCACCCGCAAGTCGCGTGTAGCGTCCGGGAAAGGTGTCAGTGACCTCCCTGCCTGTCCTCCAGGATTTTCCCCAAGCACAGGCAAAAAGTGCAGAGACGCCTGCCACCCCCTGGGCCCCACCCACTTCTCCAGGGATCCTTTCTGTGGGCCCTCCTGTCACTCTGAATTTCATTTCCTAACTGGCCCGCCGTCATGTCCACCCCCACACCTATCACCTCTCCAGCATCAGGGAGGATGGTCCTTTGAACCTAGGCCTCCCCTACTCTTTGGAAGGCCCTTCTGCTTCTCAGGTTCACCTCCTTCAAGCCTTTATCCTAAACAGTTCAGCCCTTTGGGGACACCCCCTCAACTTCTGTGGAGCTCTTATTTTGACTGGTTCAGGCCTCCCAGAATGTCTTGTTCTTGTCCTGGAAGCCCTTATGATCTGCACCCTCACCTCTGTTCCTTTGATGAATACCTGTCAGCCCTGGGAACCAACTCAGAAACTGGCTCATTGACCTCCTCTCCCTTCAGTCATGGGCCCCTGGAATCTGACGCCACGATTTCATCTCCCCTCATTCATAGGTCCCCCCGAACTGACCCTTTGATTTCATCTTATACTCAGAAGTCTCAGAGAAAGGACTTCAGTTCATCTCCCCTTGCTCATCAGCCCTTGGGAACTAGACCTATAGTCACCCCACCCTTTTCTCCTAGACGTTTGGAAACTGGGCCCTTGATTTACTCTGACCCGTGTTCAGGGAGAAATTGTAATGACCCTTCTCTTTCCCCAGTACCTACCTCACCCACTATCAGCTTTTACCATGACTGCCTTGAGTCTCCGGACTCATGTGAACGCAAACCACAGCCTGATTTGCCTTTTAGGAAAAATTGTTGTGACTTCCCACCTTCTCAGGCAGACACCCCTGGCTCTCCCAGTTCACCTCAGGATTGCTCTTTTCACTGCTCCTGTCTTGCCCCAGAAACCCCTATACCTGCCCCTGGGGGCCCTCGCTGTGCCATCCGCACCCCTCCTGGGAATACTTGTGCTCCTTGCCCAACCCAGACCCAACCCTCCAGGAAGCCTTGCTTTGAGTCTGCTCTTCCCTGGGAAGCTGATGGGAATTCTTACCCCTTCCTACCTCCAGGCACACAGATTTCTGCACAGGAATCCAATCTTTCCCTGTCTTCTCACTATCCTTATTCTGTCCGTCCTTTCCTTTCACCTCCAAACAACCAGTTTATATCTCCACCTCAGCCACCCCCCTATAGAAGCTATAATGAACCCCCTCTTAGCATCCCAGTTTCCCCCCAAGTGAAGTCTCCCAAATCCATAGATTTAAGGCAGTCACATAATCCCCATAGGTGTCACTCTTTGGACATCACTCCACAGTGTGGTGTTGGCCAGCCCAGGCCCCATAAGACTAGTACTTCCCCTCCCTGTGGCCCCTATACCCTTTCTGGTCCTTCTTGTAGGGAAGCATCCATCACAACTCCATGTAATTCTTCTCCTAAGGAACTTATAGGGTCCACCTTACCCACTGTACTTCCTAGACTCAAAACTACCAAACCCACTTCCCTTCCCATCCACTTTTCTTGTCGTCCTACCTCATACAATAGTTATGCCCAGAGTATCACCCATAGATCTATAGATCCCCCCTGCAGTACCCATATGTACTCTGTTATTCCTCCATCTCCCCAACCCTGTCCTCTGGATTCCCTCAATCACTCCACAGCTCCTCTTCAGTGTTATAACCAGCCCATGGGTAAGCTGTGTGGTACTAACAGCACTCCCAGAGACCCACCCATACCTCATCGCCAGTCTGTGGTGCCCCCTTGTACTACCCACATCTACTCTTTTGTCCCTTTGAGAATACCCTTTGACTCCCAAAGTTTCCCCTCGAGCCCTCGAGCCCAAGACCGCCCTGACCTCCCCTGTGGCTTCCATATCTATTCTGTGGCCTCTCGAGACACCTGCAAAGAGCCCCCCCGGATCCCCTACAGCTGCCCTTTGCCTTCATCCAAGAATTCCAACTGTAATTCTCCTGTCAGTTATAATAAAACTGTTATTAGTAGAAGCCAGAATAGTCATATCCAGAATAAGAATACTCAACAAGGCAGAAGCCAGAGCCAGACCTATAGTCCCCATCATAGCAGAAATCGGAGTCGGAGCAAGAGCCCCCACCAGGACCAGAGCAAGAGTTGCCATCTTAACAGAAGTCTGGACCAAAATAGTAGAAGAAACGAGTGCCAGAGTGAGAATCCTTACAGTTGCAGAAGTCGGAGTCGGAGCAAGAGTCCCAATCAGAGCATAGATCAGGATGAGGGTGAGATTTATCATGATAGCAGAAGCCAGAGCAAGAGTCACAAAGTGAACAAAAGTCAGGGCTGGAGCAAGAGTCTCCACCATAAGAAGAAATGGCTAATGTAAGAGTTCTGACCAGACCAACAATCCTGACCACAATAAAAGGCAGAGACGGTAATAAGACTACCAGCCACAGCAAGGATCCTCGCGAGGGACAGCCAAGCCCCAACTGTGGACTCCACCTGAGGTCTCCTTTTCTCTCGTAGTCCATCTTGATGCTCTGTAGGCTGGATTCATGCTCCTCTGCTCCCTGATGGAAATCTTAGACGTCCCCATTTTAGCTTATACATCAAGGTTTGGTGAGCTCATCACACCTTTTTGGGGTCTGGGAACTCTCCCCAAATGACCCTGACTGAGCCCATTGATTCTGCATTTTATGGTATCATTCACTACGTAACTTTAGGTAAGTACACTTCTCCAGCAAATGTGGAGCCTTGTGGGGTTTTGTTTGTGTTTTTCTTATCCCACCGAGATGTCTGTTGGTGATGTTCATGTAAGGCAACGGACATAAAAATGGTTTAGAAAATAGGAGTGTTCAGAAAGAGTCTTTTGTTTTGAAACCTGAAGCTTCACCAGGGCCTATTTTATATATATATTATATATATTTTATATATATATATCTTTTGCACCCTCTTCCTGAGAGACTGCTTGAGTGCCCATTCTCTTAAATTACTCTTATTTCAAGGCATCAAGGAATGTCTACCTTCTGAATGGCCTTCAGATACTATTATGAGAGCTACAGCTTCCTTTCTATAACAGCCCTGAAATATGAAGACCAGTTCGCCATCACATTTCTCTCCCATCACATTTCTTCTCTAGCAGGCTGAGACAGTATGCAAAGGCAGGAATGGGCACTACTAACTGGATGTTTGCCCCAGAGCTCTGAGGTCTTGGTAGAACCAGGGAATAGAGGTTAGAGGCACAGCTGAGAAAACTAATAAGCCTGTTCTTTCCCCTTTAGGCTGCCACAGACGCCAAAGTCCCTGCTACCCAACTGGCTCTTCAGAATTTAGACATGACCTACAGTGTGCAGTTTGGGGATCTCTGGCCTTCGATTCGGGTCAGTCTTCTCTCAGAGCAGAAGTATGGTGCGCTGGTCAATAACTTTGCTGCTTGGGATCATGCGATTGCTGAGCTGGAGCAGCTAAGTGCCAGGGACTTTGTGAATGAAGCCTTCTCCCACTGGCAACTGGAGCCTGAGAGTGGTCCACCTGCAGCCCCAGCCTTCTGGACCTACAGTCCGAACATTCGCTGCTTCACTTTTGCCAGGGGGGATGCCAGCCGCTTTCCTTGTGCCAGGTAAGATCTAGAGCCACAGAGGTGTCTGGAGTGCCTGCAGGAAGAGACCCAGACCCTGCCCTCCAGAATAATGATCATAATACCATATTGCTAATATTTACTGGATGCTTATACCTGTTTGTGCTACATTTTCCAGAGTGGCTTTTGAGTTTTGTTCCACAGCTTTCTCCCATTCTAACAAGGCCCTTTTAATGTGATCCCTTTTAGAGCAGTTGGTAGTGGTGGTTGGGCCCTATCTAGTTCATCTGGTGTTAGGGTAACCCCAGTCTTTTCTCTCACTGCCATGGAGTCAATTTCAACTCATAGCAACCTTATAAGACAGTAGAACTGCCTCTGTGGGTTTCCAAGACTGTAAATTTCTACAGGAGTAGAAAGCCTCATCTTTCTCCCATGTGGTAGCTTGTGGTTTCAAATTGCTGACCTTGTGGAAATTTGTACTAAGACTGAAAACTAAATAGGAATGAATAAAACTGGGAGAATAGAGATGAAGATGGAGAAGGGAAGCTAGATATGAGGCTGTAAAAAAAGGCAGGAGCCAGATTGTGAAGGACTTACAGGCCATGTGGAATATTGAACTTTCTCCCAAAGTGGAGGCTATGAAAGATTTTAAACTGGAGGATGGTATGATCAGATTTGAAAATTTATTTTATTTTTTAATCATTTTATTTGGCGCTAATACAACTCTTATTACAATCCATACATACATCAATTGTATAAAGCACATTTGTACAGTTCTTACCCTCATCATTCTCAAAACATTTGCTCTCCACTTAAGCCCCTGGCATCAGCTCCTCATTTTCCCCCTCCCTCCCCATTTCCTCCTCCCTCATGAACCCTTGATAATTTATAAATTATTATTTTGTCATATCTTATACTGTCCGACGTCTCCCTTTTTGGACAACTTTTCTGTTGTCCATCCCTCAGGGAGGAGGTTATATGTAGATCCTTATAATCGGTTCCCCTTCTCTACCCCATCCTCCCTCCACCCTCCTAGTATCGCCATCTCACCACTGGTCTTGAAGGGATCATCCATCCTGGATTCCCTGTGTTTCCAGTTCCTATCTGTACCAGTGTACATCCTCTGG